TATGCTGCCATTTTTGCTATCAGGGACAGCTGGATAGCCATACAAAATGAGTTGCCTCAGAAAGGCTGAGCTTTCAACTTAAACTCAGTCCCTTGAGTTAGGGAAAGGCACAGCTACACTAGTGATGGGAGACAGACCACTGCTAGAGATGGTTGTCTCATCCGATGGTAAATAGAACACGCTATTCCAAACATCTAGGATTCCCAAGTCTTTATGCACTGCTGGGACCTCCTTCTCGAGTCCAGAGAGGTGCACTCAGCTGGCTTCACAAACCTGTACTTGGATGTCTCTCAGTCCCTTCTCATTCATACTTATTTAACAGAACCAGTCAAGACATGTGACAATTCCACAAACTCTTGAATCTAGGTGAAAGCTATTAGGGAGTTCTATGTAAACTGTCTAAAAAATTATTTCAACATAAAAAGTAAAACCAGGGGTGTCTGGGTGGCTCAGTTGGTTAAGGTCTGACTTCGGTTCAGGTCATGATCTTGCAATTCGTGAGTTCAAGCCTCTTATGGGGCTCTCTGCTGTCAGCAAAGCCTGCTTTGGATCCTCTGTTCCTCCCTCTCTCTGCCCCTCCCCTGTTTGTGTGCATGTGCTCGCTCGCTCTCTCTCAGAAATAAACATTACGAAAGTAAAACCAAAACCTCTATTTCTACCCTTCAAAAGTTTTTGCCTTTGCCAGATTTCCTCGTATTATTGATTAAAACCAAAAATTCAGGAGTAGTAATTTTTCTTTTTTCTTCTTTTAAAGTTGGATGTTGATATATAGAAAAAGAACATATATGGTAAATGCATACATTACAAAGAATATTCACAGGAAATCCCTGAAGCCTTCACCTACGAGAGATTCTTGGCAGCTTCCTTTCCTTTGGCCATTACTCACCTGGCCCCAATGAATCCACTATGAATGGGGAGAAGCCGATGCCAGCTTCTCCCCAAACCCTCTGCTACTCTCAGGCCAGGTGACCTCACTTCTTCCTTAGGTAGTACTACCACGGTAACCTGCCTTACTTCCATCTGCATCCTATTAAGTTTTTTTCCTAAGCACCTGCAGTGGGCTTGAAAAGCTGTACCACACATCTGCCTGATAAAAACCAAACTACCTTCACAGTGAAGGCCCTGTGTGTTCTGCCAAACCTAACCTGCCTGTCAGTATACCTCAGTTACCTCCTACCAGCCCACTGGGTGACTCCATGTTCCCTGAATGTGCCAAGCTTGTTCCATTTTCATGGTCACCCCAAATGCTGTTTCTGTGCTTGGGAGCTCTCTTCACCACCACTCTTATAGGTGTGTAGAATTCTTTCACTTTGGGGATTGGCTTAAAGCTCACCCCTGCAGTGCCCCTCAAA